CAACAGCTTAATTTTTCAGAGATAATAAACACAAAGTCAATGCAATAAAAGCATAACTAGATAGAAAAACACACAAAGCCCCGACCTTAATATTATTGATGCAGTGTGGGATTGTCTTGACAGAGAACACAACAAACAGCAGTCAACATCCAAAGAAGAGTTTTCAATGTTCTTCAAGAAGCCTGGACAGCTGTTACAAGAACGTTTAAGACCGGCTGTGTTGAAGAATAAAGGTGATGATATTAATTACTGACTTGCAATTAAATTAAATTCTATTCAATTTTATTTATACAGCGCCAAATCACAGCAACAGTCGCCTCGAGCCGCTTTATATCGTAAGGTAGACCCTACAAATACATACTGAGAAAAACCCAACAATTATATGACAAATGATGTCTGTCTCCTGAATTCAAACTGGAAGCTGGTTCCATAGAAGAGGGGTCTGAAAACTGAAGCCTCTGCTTACCTTTCAAGCACATTAAAATTTATACAATCTTTTTCTTGGCCTATAAACTATATTTCCATAGTTTCAATAAATCCATGCACCCACTCATAGGAAAATATAAAGAAATATAACTTAGGAAGGAGAGCAGAAAACTTTTTCAGAACACTGTAAATTGTTCTTGCATTTAACCAAACCAACACTGAATGTACCCACTCAACCTTTATTACTACTAAAACATACACAAAGTAGCTTCGGCTCATTTTCACCCACACCATCCTGCAAGGCACCCAATGTGCATGAGACCAGTCCCCGAGAAATGCACGATTTGTTTTCTTTTAGAGAAGCTGTGGCTGTAATCTATAGTGTAGCTATTTTAGTGTTTTAATGAGCTGGCTTCTTTAGGGGGAAGCAAAAGGCACAATGCTGAAAAACCAATGTTGATGTGTTTTGTTTTACTGGATTTGTTGGCAGTGAGAATTTGCTAAATAGGTCCAGATTTAAAGCTTTAATCTGAGATAAGATTAGGGTTTCTATGAATAAAGAATAATGTCTTATACTTTTGCAGTGGGTGCAAGTTTTTAAATAAACCCGATGATCTACTGTTTACTTCAAACCATCACCAGGTTTTGTGAACCAAAATCTAATTTTTTTTTAGATCATCAGTAATTGATTTATGAGATTTTTAATCGGCCGTGTTAGCAACTCTCAGCGCATGTCAGGAAAACTCACCTTGCTCCCATTTGCTCACTAAGTACACCACTGATGTGACTCCATGTGGCTTTATCTGTGTTTACAGCTAAACAGCTTAATCTCATTAAACTGTGACTCGACTTTAAAGCGCTGCATAAAAATTATCTCGGACGCATCAAACTGTCATCACTTCAAAAGCCATTACTGAAGCTCGACGGTGCAGAAAACTGCAGAAACACAGCCTCCTCGAAACGAGACGAGCTGAGATAGCTAATATGCTGTTTCATAGCAGGGCTCTTTGCTGCTTTAGTTCAGTTAGTCATTTATATAATATGAAACAGTATTGTGGAAAACGTTACAGCATTAATGTCACGTTGATAGAAGAAAAAAAGATGTGTACAATCTCCAAATTGACTAAGACTTGGCTTAAGTCCTGATTAAAAAAACGGTATATAACAGAGAACATTTACATTTAAATAAAGTTCTGCTGTAAGACGGAGATGGTTTTCATTTTAGACTAAGAAAAGTCTAAGTGGTTAATGTTATGCACAAAATACAGAAATACTTTTAATTTGTTTTATCATTTTGATTTGAAGTCTTCACTATAAAGCAGGATTAGGAGCTTATTAGGAGTAAATTCAGGTGTGACTCTGCATTTTCAGGGTTGCAATGATGGTTCAGGTATGATTTGTGTTGGACTTTGAGTTTTAAGATCAGTGGTTAAGGTCAGAGTTTCAGTGTAAAACCATCTCGAGGTGTCATATTTTCACTCAGCATTTAATTTACACTATGCGTTAAGTGTTGAACAGATTGTTTGCTCAGGAAATATGTTCTGTATTTATCAACATGTCTTTCCACATTTTATAAAAACGACTCGGTGAAGCCGTGCTCTGAAGCTTTGTTGTGATGCTGAGAATGAATGAATGTTTCTCTCTTTTTTGTCACAGCAGTGTTGCGATTTGCTGTAAGACGTTTCAGGTTCGTTACACATTTTAATGCCTGGGTTAACGGAGAAAGGCGATAACCACCGCCACTGTGATACCCCTTTATCTTCACTAAGGTTTTAGGTTTTGTCAAGTCAGCTTAAGTAAAGAGAGCTTGGCTATGTTGCACTTGCTTTGCAGTGCAGCCCTCAGGTTACGTTCAAGATCAACATGCACAAAATCATCACTGACCTACCAAATTTTTTTTATTCTTTGTGAACATCCACAAGAAATACAGATCCTTAGAAACAATTGTAAAACTTAAAAAAAAACCCAATAAGTCTTAATATTGACAATTGTTAAAACGGGTAAATCAACTTTCTTACCCTCACATGGTTTAACACCACCAACGTTGCAGGTGAAAGAATAGAGCATGTTAAAAGAAAACATCTAAGCAACACACACGTTTGATGCAATACAAAATTAATTACAGTCAGATCTTAAGATCTTAAGAGCTTAAAGATAGAATGAAGATATTGATGAGTCTTAACTCATCAATATCTTCATTCTTACATGTTTCTCTGGCTTACTTTTCTTGATTTAAATAACCTTTGCTAACAGTTTTACCACTTTTCCAGTCAAAGCGCTTTGAGTGCACACACATTCACACAGCATTTCTTTTAACATTTAAAAAGTTTTTAATACTTAACCCCACTTTTTACACACTGCTATTACTGAATAGCTTGTAATATGCATTTGCTTATTACAGCAAATACACTGGTGTTGAGCCAGATGCTGCCGTCAGAAAGACAAACGGGCATCAGGAAATGTTTCCAGACATTTATCAACATGCAAACTTTTCTTTTTCTTTGCAGTTTTTTTATGGACAACATAATGCATAAAAAGACCAATGGGGTGATTTGGAAACGGTGCCATTACACTGTTTGTCCAACAGAGCAGCTCTAAAGTCACGGTTTACATGCAGCTATTCTCAGCTGAGAGGAGGAGGTGACAAGTGTTGTCTTTACAGTTTGCAAAATTCACTGCTGGTGAAAAAACAGCGATGCCATAATTTAATTAACTGTAAAGATTAACAGCAGATATAATGTCATAATTATTACACACTAAAATGCAAGGATCTGTTGTGGCCTACCAGAATCAAATATTAACATCCAACATGTATAAAGTCACTTTGGAAATTATACCACAGAGAATTATGAGCTGAATCTGCAGCATCACCTGGTTTTGCAAGTTTTTATCAGGGTTTGGCCTCATTGTTGAGAACTCCTACGGTTGCCTTTGATTGCAAGCAGAAGCTCTCTGCAAGAAAAAAAAAAGCTTGTGAGCCCAGCCTGTGGAGGATTTAGCAGCTAAAGAGGAGTCGACAGGAAGTAAATACTTACCTTGACACGGCGCTTCATTTGGTAGTCCCTAAATCATTTTCAGATGCCTAATATTCTTTGTAATTGTTTTTGCTTCATATCCCAATCTCCTCTGGATTTTATATCCATACACTCAAATGAGTTGTGATAACTCTGAAAAGAGTTTAATGCTAAACATGTTTACATTCAGATGAGCACAACTCAGAAATTGGGAGAAATAAAGGAAGAAGATGTTTGCTGAAAATGTTCCAATAAGTAATCCCCCCAAAAAATGCAGCAGCTGAGCAACAGAGCTACAGAGTTTATCTCAGATTTTCTAATTCACTGGGAATTAGAAAACAACCAAGCAGGTCAAAAAATAAATACAGCCGTTACATCACAAGTGCCATTTGCTCTGTTGTGCTGCAGATGTTTTTCCTCCTTATACTGCAGAAATTTCATTTTGAACTCCTCTGCCTTCTGGCAGTCAAAGCCTTTTAAGGCCATCTGACATTTTTTTAAAAAGAAACATTATTATGTTGACATTACTGTTTTTAAAAACGGCGAAACTCTGCGCTTGGGTGCAAATTTTGATGCCAGCTATCAAACTAGAAGTTAACAAACTCTTCAAATACAAAGATACATTTCATTGATCAATTATCAATCAAAATTTTCATTTTATTGATAATTTCAATCATTTTACAGCTACACATTTGGAGAAAAGAAGGACCTGGATTTTAATCTAGTCTGGGCCCCACTGTGTAGAGCAGGAGTCTCAAACTCACGGCCTGGGGGGCCACTTGCATGTCACCCCTACTTGTGGCTCGCATATTGATGTGAAGTGATATGATGCAA